TCCACTATTTGCATTCACACCTGGGCTGTGTATATATATTGCCTTGGTTTGGTTCTGTAATCATTAGTGGTCGTGGGACTAGTTTGGGCCCTACGTTTCGTTTGGGTTTGTACCAAAGCTGCACTGATGAGGCCTGGAAGGCCAAAACGGATCCGTCTGCAGATATTGGGATTCCTTCCAGTGAATACTTAGTTTACTTTGTCATTCTGATCGGATTTTCTTTACTGTTCCGTTTTAATTTAAATTTAAATTGTTTTGCATTATATGGCTGTTTTATGGGTTTTCCCATTTGCCTTTCAAACTTCAACGCAGAATTTATTAAAAATTGTGGTCCTAAAGGTAGGGGTGTCTTCTGATGCCTGTACTGGAAAAACAATCAGCATTTTACTGCTATTGATGTCCTAATATGCCCATATCACCTTATTTTTTTACTACAAACAGTTCAGACAATGGCATATCTAGGGGATTAAAAAGCTACAAAACCCACCCCCATAAAATGTACCATAAAATATTTCTCGACCCTGGGTTTGAACATGCAAAGTGGGATTCGGCAAACTAGGTTTCACAATTTTTGAGCGGCCCATTTGGCATCGGCAAACTAGGTTTCACAATTTTTTAGCGGGCAATTTAACATCGGTAAACTGGGTTTCGGCCAAGTGGAGTTGACAATCCTGGTATTTTTGAGTCTGCGTTTGTGAGTCGAAATTAATTAAAAAATATGAAACCTAATATTATAAAAATCATACTCTTAGTATACATCATGAAATAACATAATAATATTATAATAATAGTGCTACCTCTCGTTTTACTGTTTATTCTTACTATACAGTAAGCAGGTCGATTCTAGAATGATTTGAAGGTTAATTATTATCACCCGTCAGACACCATTTTGGTAGTTTTGAGTCTTTCAGGGTCGGAATAAAGATCACATAATCTGGCAAGAAAAATACCAAATTTGTTCACAGCAGGCATATAAACATCATTTACGACATCACATCACGCTTTTTGACTGGACATATCCTATTTGAAAATTACGGTGGTCTATGTTGCGGGTCACGATGTGACAAGCTGATTTTTGGTTATTAATGCAATTGTTATTCCATTTCAATTGCAAAAGCAATGGGATATTTGATTGGCCGTTGATTGGTCAAACAAGACATGTATATATATGGTCTAGCAAAATGCATAGGCCTAACATTACAAATGTTACTTATTTGCTATAAGTCCAGTAGGTTAACCACACTGGTATAATATTTGATTCAACAATTGGGTATTGCATATATTAGACAATCTCTTAAACATTTTATAATAATAATGAAGTAGTTTCTTTGTGCCTTTTGTATAAACCACCTAATACCACATAAGCTCACCCCAAAGTCACAGAAGATCACGCCAATACTAGACCTACAATGGCTTTCACATCGTATTAACTTAAAATTCTTATTCTCGTGTACAAATCGCTCCATAACCTATCACCCGCGTACATCCAAGATCTTCTCATCCACTTGTTCCCGAGCGCTCAGATCAACTACAAGTTCATCAAATTTGTTTGTTCCTGGGTGCCGTTCGAAAACATAGGCCTATGGTGAGAGATCATTTCGTGTTGCGGCTCCAAAAATGTGGAATGCACTACCCGTTGAAGTCCGTGATTCTGCGTCAATTGACATCTTTAAGAAGGGACTCAAAACGTTTCTATTTGGCTCTTTATATCTATTTTTCCCCTTTTTTCCACCGGTTGGAACCTCATACTTCGGTTTGGGTGCTAGCTTAGTGTTTATTGTTTTTTTTCCCCCCGGTTTTTTTCTTTGTTTTCTTGACTTCAATATTGTCAAGCGCATAGAGACCTCGTTTATTTGCGCTATATAAATCCATCTATTATTATTATTATTATTATTATTATTATTATTATTATTATTATTAATATTGAACTATATTATATAAACTATATTGTCATGAACTTGAAACTGTTTTTCAATATGGGTCAATGGTCAATAAGTCACTTTCGGTCATTTTCAGACCACATTTCGCATTAGATCGAATAGGAACATACACATTCTGAGCAATTTGACACTAAAAGCAACTTTCTAAGACCAGAGTAGTTGACAAGATAACATACGGTAATTAGAATCAAGAGTTATTTGTCCTTACGGTGACCGGAGGAACGAGCGCACATTGCAGAATGAAGCTTTATTTTTTCGGAATGACTGATAATTGTAACTTAAATTCAACAATAATAGTAACATACAGTACTTCTTTCTCTGTATATATACCCTATTTGCATATTGTATCACGAAAACAAAGGATTTAAATTTAAACTCTTCTGAACCTCGTTTTTTTCCAGCGTGGACAATGGTTTTGAACGCAGCAAGACCACTGTTCCATTATCCATTACTTTGGATGGCTCTGTTTCTTTGGCAACATCGGCCTTTTATACCGCATTCTGTAAAATGGATGTAAAGTATTTTCCATTCGACTTGGAAATATGTACCTTTAAGCATGGATCCTGGAGGTACATGATCGACCAGATCGACCTAAATGTTACAGAGAGAGAGGAGAGCCACCAAAATTACTTCAAAGAGAATGGTGTCTGGGATCTAGAATATGTCGATATTGAAAAGACCAATGAATGTTATGGTTGGTGGCCAAATCCATTCGCTCATGTTAATATGAAGATTGCTTTGAGCCGCCGCTACGAATTCTATGTTGGAAACATTTTAGCACCTAGTGTTTTGCTTTCATTTCTACAAGCTTTTGTATTCTTATTACCTCCGGAATGCGGTGAGAAAATTTCGTTTTCCATCACAAATTTGTTAGCAATTGTGCTGTTCCAACAACTGATTGCCGAACAATTACCTCCCTCTGACGAAACCCCTTATATTGGTAAGCTCAATAAAACAACAAATTTATTTCATCATAATTAACAATATCATCAGGACTTTTAAATATCATTTAAAGATTGTAGTACCGATAAACCGTACGGTACAAATAAACCATAAGAGTCTTAGATGAAAGATTTTTAAAGTTGGAACCTACATTTAATAATCAAAATAATTCGAATTATTCAGCGGAAAAGAAAACAGCTTATCAAAACAGAGGGGATATTAAACAAAATGAGAAGACGGTGTACAGTCATAAAAGGTCCAGTGGCGGAACAAAAATGTAGTTTTTGTCATTATTATCAAAATAAATGTTATCTGAACATACATACACACACCCACACCTGTCTCTTATACACATCTAGATGTGTCTAAGAGACAGAGGTAGGGGTGTCTTTGTGTATAAGAGACAGGCTCATTACCCTGCAGAAAGTGACAATAGCCGTTGCTGAAAGCGTTGCTAAGTTTGATTAACAACACAGATCCTTACAAGTCAATATTTTAAATTTATTACATGGCATATTCACTTTATTGAATATTACATAGTTTGTTATTTATGTTGCAGCAAATTTCATTACATTGATAATCACTCTTGGATGCATCTCAGTTGTGGCAACGTCGATTATCCTGAAGTTACACTTTGGACGACACAGTAAGCCTGTGAATGGACACATTTACAAAGTATTCGTCAGAGGTCTAGGCTCGGCTCTTGGAGTTTATAAACTGGATTCTGACACCACATCTGCTAATTTTAGAAGAGCTGACCCGGTACGACCGTGTTTTGCCGAAATCAGTGCAGATATCAACAACACAAAAATGTCAACTTCACAACTTCACGAGTCATCATCCGAAAAAAGAATGACAGACATCAAAATGTTAAATCAGCCAATCGATGAACGGAAAAAAGAGGAAGAAATAACACAAACATGGATTGACCTGGCACGTGTATTTGACAGAGTAATGCTAATCGTTTGGATATCAGCTATCGTTCTAGTAATCGTCATGATAATTGCAATGTTCCTACTTTCCAAAAAGAAACGTTTGGTAGGTAAAGGAGGGGAATATCCCAAAACTCGAAGCGCCATTGTGTTAAAGTGCGTATAGGCGTGGTCCGTGGCACCTAGCCTCCGTAAAGAGGCGCTTATAGTAGCAACATGTTCACATCATTGCACAACGACAGGGGCTGAAATGAACCGAGGCATCGGAATAACTTCCTACCCTTCCGAAAGATGCAATGCAATTTTCAAGGCAGAGGCTACTTACACCAATCTAAGAATTCCTAATTATGATTGGATGTTTGTTCTAATCTAATGAACAATAAGGTCCAAGCACAATTATTAAGAATTTGTTAGGACAGGTGTAACAATAGCCACTGTACTGATTTTTAAAGCACTAAAAAGAAAGATAAACCACAATCAAGAATTTCACCGAATATATATATGTAATATCGTATCGTATATAATATATATTGTGTTATGACATAGCACATGACTTATTTATCAACATTAAATACTGGACCTTGTGCACGTCAAAGTATAATGTTTTTCAATTTGCTTCTGGTTGTTCATTTTGACAAATGTAATATTTAATTTAGCTGCACTAGTAGTTTGTAGAATTTCAGTTCATTTATTTTCATTTTCATTTATCCATCATCATCAACAATAAAAAAAAAAGACAAAAAACATTAATAAAAAATACAATGATGAAAAGGACAATAAAAAAAAGACAAAAACTAAGAAGACCTTGTAAATCAAGGTATCCGAAGTAAGAAAAAAAGATATAAGGCCAAGAAAAAAAAAAACATTGACTAATGCAACACCAATTAGGTAAATTGAATAAGGAAACACACACAACACCACACACATACACAAATGCCAAAAAAGAAGAAGAAAACATACCAAAAGGCTAATAGGTGAATAAATAAATAAAGTGAATAAATATATTTTTTCCTTTGCTTGATGACCTTTTGACCTCCTGAATTCTGCATCATGAGATTTTCGAGTCGATTCAATCGAGAGGGTTTCATGCAAATGTTTCGTACGGGAAAAAATCGCCGCCCGGCGCGTTTTGTGGGTTTGAAAAGGCTTTTGTTCTTGTTTATTTTTTGTTGCGTTCCTATTGTACTTTGAAAGTTTTTAAAGCTTTTGCGACTATCGTTCAGATATGGGGGTCCGTTCGAACTTAAACTAAGTTGGCGGGGAGATGCACACAAAAATTATGGTTGGTTGCTATTTGGACCGGCTTCAGCCTGTATACCACAAAACTTTGGCGGGGAGCGGCCAGGCAAGGCTTGAAACTTCGGCAGGAATCGAAAAATGTGCGCAACCAATGAGAGCTAAGGAACCGAACCGAAACCTTCAATTCGCGTGAATAAATTCGCCTTGTGGAAAACCGGCTTTAAAGCCGGTTTTCCACTAGGCGAATTTATTCGCGGGAATCAAAGCGTCGGTTCGCTTCCAGAGTTCTGATTGGTTGCGCATTTTTTTCGCCCTAGCAAAATAGATAGAAATGTGAATGCGCATGTGCATGAGCCGCCGCTTTCCATTCGCGCGAATAAATTCGCCAAGTGAAAAACAGGTAGCTTTAGGTAAGAAAGTTATTTTCAGATTGTTAATATTATGTTTAAACATAAGCTGATTGATTGTTAGATGATTGTGATACTATGGATTTATGTAGTGTTTTCAGAAAATGTATTCTCTTGATAGAACCTATTTGATATCTACTTTCGAGCAGAAAGTTTGTAGACCTGTTTTCGATTGAGTATCTTTTTCACCTGCGCTAGGCTAGCTCATGGTTGCCATGGCACCTGGAATGACTTAGTGAACTATCAGGGATCACTGTATTATTAAGCTAAAAATGGGTAACTTGTTTAGGTTTTCCCTGCGGCTAAAGTAACAAGCAAGTAGTTGTGATTCTGTAGCTTGAGGTATAATCATATAATATTCAGGGTTTGATAGGAAATTATGTATCTGTTCATAGGTGGAGATTTAGACAGCAAGGCACTGTACCCCTAATACATTGTACGCAGAACGTCAATACACATCGCCCCTCTCCCACTAGGGTTTTTTTCAGCATACGAGTTACAAGAGAATGCCGAGTTACTAACTCGGCAAACTCGGCAAAAACTCGTAGGACGATTCGGAAAGCTCGGAGAGGACTCTTACCTACTCGTAGCAGTATCTGAACTCGTGGCGCTAATTTTGAACATGTTCAAAATTATCGCCACGAGTAGATAACTCGTAGTAAACTCGAAGAACTCGTAGGTAGCTCGTAGAGTACTCGGGGTACTCTTACCTAGCTCGTACACTACTTTGGATACTCGTCGGCGGTTTTGTCATCTACGAGTTTGATGCGAGCACCCAAAAACGAGTACGAGTAAGTACGAGCCCACCGAGTTGGCTCGTACCTAACTCGTATCTTATTGGTACAAACTTGTTACGCTCGTAATAATCTCGTAGTTAACTCGGTGCTCTGCTCGGCATAATTCGTACATAACTCGTAACCAACTCCATAATGTCGTACCTCACTCGTAGCTATCACGTAATAAGCTCGTATAGGTCCTTTCCAAAGTTCACGAGTTTTAACTCGTAGAAATCGTCCGACTCTTAGGTGAAATAAACCTAGGTGGGAGAGGGGCTTAGTCACTGTATATCATTATATGCAAAGCCACATTACACAGGAAGGCGTTACGTTATGTTTGTTTTTGCTGAATAAACTGGTTATACTTACTGGAGCTTGAGAGTTGTCTTTTGCGTCCAGTAAACAGTGATTATCAATTAAAATATCTAAATTACTATTAAATACCATGACAATACATTAAAATTAATGGCCCTTCTCTTTTGAAATTAACTGCACACTTTCTACCGAAATAAGTTTTATGAGCCTCTGAAGTTCCTATCTACTCTGCTAGTTCGTAAACATCGCTCGACTTTTTACCAGAGGTTTTACCATGTGGTTGATGCGAAGCTCTGTGCACAACAGTGGACAAATTTGGGGACGCTGTTTGATTTGACCAATCTAATCCATTGTTTTAAAAGCATTCAACCGTGAACACCGCGGTTTTTGGACTAAATTTACGTCTTTGGACTGAATTTACGTCTTAAATGTTTATTGATAATCTGTAAGCGAGCCCGTTAAAAATTTTTTTAAAAATTTCTCAAAAACTAATAAGACGATTAATTTTTAAAATATAGGAGGTTGGACTACTCTGCTGCTGCTGTTGCTACTACTACTTCTACTTCTACTGCTGCTGCTTCTCATGTACAGTCACAGTGTTTGTTTCACGTTCACAACAAATTTCCACGAACGTCTACAACATACATCGATGGGAATTTCTCGCTTGTATTGTACGTAGGCCTAGCCTGGGTTATTATGTTTTCCTCAATTAAGCTGAAATATGGGATTATATTCACTTCGTGAAATGGAGACTTCGATGATTTAGGTGGTTACAGTTTTTCTGACGGGTAGGTTTCGAATCCTGGACGTTTTATGAGGCCCTCGATATCCTATTGTAATTGTAGCATTCGGAATAAGCGTAATCATAATATCGATTTCTAGTCACTTGTAAAGAAAAGGGGTCAGTTTTATAACCTCACCGGCAGTGGTAAATCAGACATACTTATACTCACCGAGACATGGTTTAAAACTAGAAAATATATACTTTAATACTTTTACTGTTCATAGAAGAGATGGAAACACATTAAACCATGGAGGCGGAATTCTAATAACCATAAATAGTTCCATTCCTAGCTATTGAGAAAAAACTATGGCAACAAATGAAGCAGCGATGATGTTGGTGAAAATTAAACTACTGGACCGGGATTTATCAATCTTAGCTTAGCAAATGCCTTAAGTAAAAATAGTTAAGATGTCCCTAAGCAAATATCTTAAGCTGATTTATTAAACCATTTTAGCAAAATCTTAGCTTAAAAATCCTCTTAGATGGCTCAAGCATACAATCGACTTTTTAGTTTTTATCAATTTTTAATCTAAGCAATATTGATAAATCTCACTTAAGCAAAAAAATTGACTTAAGACGAATTTAAGCTGATTTTTAGTTTGATAAATCCGGAACATGAGCTTTTTAGATAAATCATTAAAAAATCACTAAAAGCAACAAAAGTATCATACTGGCTGGCGAGTTTAACCTGGATGGGACTGGAAACTCTACTCATGTAAGTCTTAATGTCCATATCCAACTATCCATACTGGATTACACGATCTAATATGTGAAAATATAACAAACATACCCAGTCAAATATGCAAAAGGTGACGTACAACCTTGAATAACTGACCAAAGTGCAATATTGGACATACATAGAGGGTATAATCTCACTAGAAACAGACCAGAATGAGTATCATCCAATGAAAAGAGTTTGGAAATTCATCAAACACAGAAAGCATGTCAACATTGATGTATCTGACCTAAAAGAAAATAAGTAACCAATGACAGAATCAAGGCAAAATTACTGAATATTCCGCGTTTACCACAGTAAGACCTGCGACAGATGTCACATCACCCTTTGAACCCAGTACCTTTACAGAAATGCCAGATATCATCATTAATTAGGAGGGTATCACCAAATAACTGCAACAGCTTTGCCCTGAGAAGGCAGCTGGTCCTGATGACCTTAGCCGAAGATTATTCAAAGAACTAGCTCAGGAAATAGCGTCCCCATTATTTTAAATCTACATGAAATCTCTAGAAACTGGTGAGGTACCAATGGAGTGGAGACAAGCCAAAAAGGGAAGCAAGTACGACAAATCCAACTACAGACCCATAAGTCTTACTGCACAACCTCCAAGATTGTGGAACATGTAATAACAAGCAACATCATGAATCACACTGAGCATTTTGGTTTGCAATCTTCTCTAAACAAATTGGCTGTCTATTGTGATAAATGGGGTCTTACTGTTAATATTGAAAAAAGTAATGTTGTCGTTTTTAAAAATGGGGGAAAATAAAAAAAAATAGAAAAATGTTATTATAAAGATGTTTTATTACAAGTAGTTAAATCTTGGTGTAGTGTTTAATTCAAATGGCACATGGACGAATGCAATTAGTTATAACTGTACAAAAGCAAACAAAGCTATTTTTACTTTAAAACGATCAATACACAATTTGGCAACTTACCTATACATTTGTGGAACAAAATTTTTGATGTAAAAATAGTACCAATATTAATGTATAGCAGTGAGATCTGGGGAATCAATGACATACCAATTATTGAAAAATTTCACTCTAGGTTTTGCAGATTTATTTTAGGAATAGGCAGCACAGCCCCAACTATGGCAGTTATGGGTGAATGCGGGAGATTATCACTTTCTGTTGCTGGTATTAGAGATGCTTTACGTTATTGGTTACGTTTAATTAATGCAGATAATAAAAGTTGTATTTACAGTTGTTATAGATTCCAGTTAAGAAGATTACAGTCCAACGATAAATCTTGGTTGTACTTTATTAAGGAGAAATTATGTTCAATTGGCTTTGGTATAAATTGGTATGAACAATATGTTGAGAACAATGTTGCTTTTATATCTGAAATAACTGCTCGTCTAACTGATATTGAACGTCAAAATTTTCATGAACAAATTCATTTATTTTCCAGACTTAAGTATTATGTGACATTTAAATATAATTTTACAATCGAACTATACTTAATGCATATACAAAATTTTAATTATAGACGTATTCTTAATAAGTTGCGTTTAGGAGTCCTTGAATTAGAAATTGAAACTGGTAGATGGTCAAAAATTGATAAAAAAAAAAAGATAGATTATGCAAACATTGTACATTAAATTTAGTTGAAGATGAGTACCATTTTATTTAATTTGCCCTTGTTACACTGATATTCGTAAACATTATATATTCAAGTATTTTATTGTTAATCCATCCAAAGTTAAGTTTACTCAATTAATGTCCACTACTGATATCAATACAATAAGTATATATATATCTTGACGTAGACACGTTAAAAGAATGAAAATAACACAGGTTAGGTTATACTGAACGCCTGAATCACTATAGTGCCTTCGTATCCAAGTCGTTATGACGTTTCCCAGGTATGCTAAAGGTCCCGAGTTCTGGTGATGACTGAGTGCTTCTGTTACCACTTTCTGTTACGTTTCAATTTATATTATATATACATTCAACTATTCCTTCAGCTGTTTAAGGATTTATTCCCTTCGCCTTTTATATCATTTTATATACACAAGTATCTCATTCAGGATCCAGCAAGCCGGAATGTAACAACTTGAAAACCTTTAGCCGTAAACCTAATTGTGGTACAGAACATAGTTTCAAAAAAATTTTGAATGGGCCATTTTAATTCTCTGCCCCTCCCGGTTCCCACCAACTGACCTGATATATGTTTTTCAACGAAGCTGTGCCTTTTCAAAATCGGATGTAGGGGGATACCCCGGTGTAATGGAACAGACAGCCCCTGTGGTGGACGATGAGAGTTGCTGGTACCGGGTTGCCAGGTAGTACACGAAGGGACCCTTAGCTAAGAGGAGGGACGAAGAAGAAAGTCATTGATCGAGTCCCAGTCCACGTGCATATAAGGCGCCCTGAGCATCTTATATTAAATGGATACGGCGCTATACACTATTATTTGTGTTAAAATTGTACTTGCATTATCTAGTCACTTAGCTAGGCATTCCGTGAAGTTATCAACTTCAAGTAAAGTACATTTGCTTTAAAAATAGCTAAACAAAGTCCATAGTTTTTCAATGTAATTTATTAAATACATCACAGTATTTGACATTTTCTTATGAAAAATATCTTTCGTTTAGCAAATTGAAATCGTACGCATCTGTTCACAAACCACACAACTATCTCTATTCCAAATATAGTTACGTATGGTCGAAAAATCAAGAACATATTACTCCTCAAATGTGGATCCCAGACGACAACATTTGCAGTTGAAAATGAACAAACACACATTTATAGTAGGACGCATTTATATGCGAGTTAAATTTTTTCTGTGTGTTACCAGCCCAATTGGGTATCGATGTCACGAAGATGGTTACATCTGATTAGGTACTTTGTAAACTATTACTCCTCAAAAATGGCCCAAAAAGCAGGTTTTTCAATATTATTGAAAAAATTGCAGGTTTTTGGGCCTTACTTATGACAGATGGGTTTATTAACAAGCCAGTCAGCTACCCATACACCAAATATGAATGTGTCTAATAACTTAAGTAGATATTACTTTCCAAAAATGACTCAAGACCCCAAAATGTCAAATGTACACAAATAAATTGCACTTTTTCAGTGACATTCATTTAATGTAGGTTTATTTTTTTTAGTTCAATATTTCCTGTGTGTTAGCAAGCCACTTGACTACCCATACAAAGATGGTGATAACATGTGGTTGATCACTTGAAGAGATATTTGCACTCGAATGTGCATCCAAACCCCAAAAAGAAAGTGCTGTTTCTGGCAGTAAGGGCCAACTTTGACGGGTCAAAAAATCGACTGAATATTTTATAGAAAACTTTTAATGGGAAACATACTCAATTAACAATATAGGCCTATACTCTCAAAAAGTACACCCCGATCGTGGGAATGAAATCCATTAAGGAGGCCTCTTTAAATTTACAGCAAGTGGCCTAGTAATACATATTCACAAGAGTGAGGATTTTTCGACAGAATATGCTTAATAATGTGGCATCCAAGGTTGTTGGGGATTTCAAATATTATTATTTTTTTACCTGTTCAAATACAAGTGTTGAAGTGTGAGACTTCAGATATTTTCCTTCTTAAGAACAAAATTATGCTAAATTTTCCGAAGTTATTTCTACCACATATGCTGGATGCTAAAATGGGTCTAAATTATGCCAGATAGCATAATTATGCCAGGTCTGATCACTATGTCGCGATGGCTGGTGGTTGACCTTATTAGTGCTCAGCCTGACAACTTACGTCGGCCGTTATCGTGAATAGTTTGCAACCTTTCAGTAAAGCAAATTGCGTTAAATCCGGTATTTATTAGAAGTTCATGCACAAAGCTCCATGAGCGCCACTTTGCGTGGAGAATACCGGCGATATACAAGTTTTCATTTATTTATATTATTATAATATAAATGCACATTGGACACATACTCAGCTCCTGGGGAGAATTTCAAAATGTTGCAGCTTTAATCAGTGTATTTTTGTGTTCACACCTACCAGTACTCACATGTACTCCTGGGCGGCGAGAAACAACTGTAGAGGTAAAGGTAAAAGGACAAAAACTTAATGCGCAGTAAGGGATTGAACATCCGACCACATGGTTTGAGAAGAGAAGAGCCGCAACTGCCAAACCGCTCCTACCTTGCTATGATCTGGTGTAAAGGATTATGATTGATTGATTGATTGATGGATTCATTGATTGATCCGGACTTCTTCTGATTGGTCAGTTGCTAAATTTGATTCACAAAAATATATTGCGTGCAGACATAACTAAGAATATTTATTAGGTTGTTGCACTTTTTTTCTCTCTCTTTTCTGGCAAAGCCACATTTATTCAATAATACATAATACAGCAAATTCATTTTCAAAATAAAAAGAAAAACAATAGGCCTATATATTAGACCTCTTAGTTTCATTACAATTATCATATCAAAACAGCACAATTTTTTTTTTACAATCAGATTTCATTCCTTTCATTTACTTACTAACAATTTATTTTTTATACTTTTTATATTTGCTTTTTTTTTCTCCTTTTGTAAATACATTTTTTTTCTTTCTTCCTCCCTCCCATTTATTTTGTGTTGTAAACCCACCAAAAACGTACAAAAAAAGGGTTGTTGCACTCTGTGTATGATTGATTATAAATCAAATGATAGGCCTATGATTTATGCTATTACCGTGTAAGTGAGTAACCATGTAAGTGAGTAAGACATACAAGACGGTAGCATGAATTTAAACTTATCATACCGCCTAATAAGTCAGTAAGAATTTTAAGGGGAAGTACTAGCACGGGCTTGGATCCCCAGATGACATATTGATAGATTAAAAAAAAAAACAGACTACCATATTTAACAAGAATTCTTTAAGGTTTTGCTTCGCAGTCTTTCATTTTAATCAGTAGTGAGTGTTAGTATTTTTTTTGTGTTTGTTGTACCTTACTGGTTATGTATTTTACTTTAGACGAAGTCCCACTATTTCAACTTATGCTGACTTACTTGACTTACTTACTTGATGCATGTAAAACAAGAACATTTTTAAGTTCGTGTAAAAGCGTGTTTAAATATTCTTATCTGTTTTAATATGATAACTTTTGAATGTGCATTTTTTTATATTTATCATTTTATATTATCCAAATTATTTATTTTCATTTGTAACAAAACAAAATTGAATTAAAGTGAATTGAATTGAAAAAAGACAAATTTTATTTGGACTTTATTATTTCTTAAACAATACAAGTATCCTTTTTCCTTCTAAAATGTAGGCCTACACTATGGAGTGGTGTAAGAGATGGAAGACTATTGAGAGAGGAACGCAACAGAAGGAAAGAAGTCGCATCTCATTTAAATAATTAAGCCTATGTATGATTTAATAGCTCCAGGATTAATACAATTCATCACTTGCGCTGTTAAGTGGACTATTCCAATGTATATTAAGGGTGATATAAAGAAACCTTATCTTGTTAAAATTGAAGTGTACCCAAAAATTAATAATTTTACTACTTGCAATTTACCTATACATAATAAGGATATGTGGTTCAAAATTGCTAAATTTTGATTTTAAGTATCATTAACTGTACATTGGCAGGTTTTAATACTAATCAGAACATAATTAGCATCAGTCACAATTTATAATTTGTAATGACGCTGTCTCAGAAGACAGAGACTGCTTATAATATTCCATGAACATGACAATAGTACACATAGGCCTTACGACCAGGTTTGATGGGTCAGGTTCGCTAACTAATGTATCCTGCTACAGTTGAAATAATTTTTAAAATATTTACATTAATTTATATAATTACATTGAGCCACAGGCTGCCGGAATCAGACATTTAGCTTACAAAAGATAACAAATCACCTTAAAGGTTAATTTTCAGCTGACGTTTAAAAATACAGGACATTGTAGACAACAGTTCATATCGTCTGATAATATTACTCAGGTACGTCAAAGCTTTCTCAGAAATGCCCTGCCTATTTTTGATAGTTCTTGTTACGGCGCTCGTAATGACAGGTAGGAAAATGATAATGTTTACACTCATAGATACTGTGCCATAAATTAACTTCCAGCGATGTATAGGTCTAGCTAGTATATAAACGTCTATCAAATCTTAATTTATAATAGGCCTATTAATCTTATATAATCCTGCAAGCCTACAGTATAGTTTTACAATGGTTACAAATAATCAATTAAACATAGTCCTTTGCATAATGTAAATATTATTTGTGATGGATGTAAATTCCCACACTGAAAAATCGTCATCTGAGTTCCATAAGTGGTAGAGCAGGCTCAATAAGCACTATTTGGTCCTATGCAGTACCAATATTCCATTTTCAGGTCAGTCAGTACCGTAAAAAGCCTAATCAGTATATAAATTACCATCCAATATCGTTTTAATTATTAACCATCACGTTTGATTTACTTTATGGTTCGAGTAGAGGCTCGTAATAACGAAGCTCGATTGACAGAGGACCTACTGAATAAATACCCTATGACGAAAACTGTTAGGCCGGTCTTAAATGACTCTGATGTCGTTGTCGTGACGTATAGCTACACTGTAACGAACATCGTTGAACTGGTAAGTGACACATGTTGCTCTCAAGTGGTTATCTTAATTAGCTTTATACACTATAATGTTTAGATTTGTTTGTTTCTTGCTTCGTTTACCTCTGTTTTATTGCTAATGTATGTTCTTTTCTGCCTTGGAAATACCTCGATAGTGTTGCACAAATTTGATTATCATTGGATTTTGTTGTATTTTTTTCCCTAAAATGTTGTAATAAATGAATAACCTATGGAATAGTATGCAGATAAATTATTTAATACATATGTTTTTGTCATAATCTGTAACCAAAAATAGTTTATCAACAATCTGCATATTTAGGCCTAAATAATTAAACACATAACTAACGGTAAACAGTGAAATCGTTAGAACTGATAAATAACTAAAATAAAATGAAAAAAGGAAATGGAATGAGGAGGTAATTGAAATGAAATTATGAATAATTTTGAACTTAATAATAGTTACAAAATCATTCGTAAAATTAATACGTAAATTATCAAAATGTATAATTGATTGTAGATATGATGCAAACAGCTTTCACTTGCTACAATTTTCTTCGTGTTTTTCCGACTTTTCCTTTCCATGTAAAGTGCATAGGCATTATGTACTATATAAAAATAAATTTATTACATTTTATTATTATTAATCATGTAGTACCTTAAGAAAGTATAAATTCTTTGCCTCTTGGTTGTTGTAAAGAAGCAAATCAAATCCACAAGCCTCATAACCTTCGTACGAAAAGACAATATAAATTACCATAGGTCAAAAGAAAACGATCCAAGAATTTTCTTTTAAATTACGGTGTGTTTTCTGAATGGTAAAATATCCCCTGCATGGTATACTTTATCAACATTTTTTGACAACGTTTTGGTATGTGACAACTGCTTTTCTTGTCTCACTCATTACTTCCTTGTTGTCTTTATTTGATTTTTTTTTTAAATTATAGTTTCCTGTTTATTTTTCTGTAATGTTTCACTTTTTAACTACCCCTTTCTTTTGTGTAACCCCCTTTGCTCTGTTAACTTTTGTGAAATACATTTTTTTGTAATTATTTTTCAGAATTTCAAGGTTCCTTATTGTTTATTATTCTGCATTTGAATGTTTTAATATATTGTTCTTTAATATTTTTATACTGTATAATCACATTTTAATGTATGGGCAATTTTTAATATCTACCATTTTATAGGCCTTTTATCCAAATGATGTATATTCATTTGTAACAAAATAACTTTTGAATTGAATTAATTACACGTCGATAATACATATTTTAACAATGGTGTTGTCATTAATAGAGAGCTTTGCTATCTCTTTTAAGAATCGAGTCACAGAGAAAATTTCTAGTTCCGCGTTTATGTATCCGTACACAAATAGATGAGTTTTCTATATCTCAGTTTTGTTTACCCAGAGAACCGAGCAATTTTGATGGTGCACAGCCTGTTACTACAGCCTAGCCTGGAACGAAATACGGTACATTATGTGAAAAAAAGAGTGAATTTTGATTTGGTTGCTAAATTATAACCTTTTTGATATAGAATATAATGAAATACCATTGAAATGTAGCAAATACATTTCTCTATTCATCGTTCCCGCGACTGAATCCCGCGTTTCGAGTACATTGGAAACTAAAAAGTCTTAAACTTGTGACGTCGTACACAACAAACTTTTGTCGGTGGCTCCCTGTAGGTCTACAAGATAGCAAACGCTCTCTATTTCAATTCTTATTTCTCACTGGGTGTGTTTCAGGACGAGCGAGGTCAGTTTGTAACTGTCAGCGGATGGCTTAACCTGGTAAGTATTATCGAGGCTATAGTTGGTGTATTTATTTTGCTAAAAATATTGAATAATTTTGATATACATGTTGAATGTACCCTGTTTTCAAACTAACGTTATATTAGAGTTATACAATGGTTACGAGATTACTCGACAAAAGCCTAATGTGAACGTTTTGTAATAAACTATTCTAAAACAACCGTTAACAAAAGGTAAGACAAACAATAAAACATTACTAATCTCAGTGACGGATTTAGAATAGACGTAAGGGGTTGGCCTACACCCCGTCTATTTTTTTTTGTTAAAAAAGATTGTGAAGTATATCATCAAATGCAACATCTAATTAATAAAGTGCCAGAAGTTTAAGGGCAATTAGGCAATTGCACCCCTACAGGGGCTCTTCCTGAGAGAATCGCACACAGTTTGCATATTCACGCCCCTCTTTCTTGCGGGTCTTAATCCGCCCCTGACGAGTCTTAAACCAGTTTCACTCGTTGCGATTTTTGTTTAAAACAAGCTGCGCTACGACACGTCCAGTTTGAAATCGTCTGGTTCGCGGGAGTTGGGGAAAAGGTGTGAGAGGTATACGACACGACACCGATAGTCATAATATGGAAGCGTACTATATCGTAAAATTTTAAACATAACAATAACAATAATTCTTTATTGGTCCTCATTTAACTGGAAATCGGAACTTTGGGCTGGGCCCTTGGGACAAGGACAGCCGCACAGTGCAGTGCAACCCGACTAACCCGATAAAAACATTGTCCTTAACCCGTCTAACTCTCAATGTGAGGATTATTCGAGGAGCCCAGCGAAAGACTCCAATTAAAAACCGACACTGGCCAGATTTTAACCCTGGTTTACAGCGAAAGAAGCACAAACAATACCTCTCAGCCGAGCGTTAATGTTCAAATAAATTTAGTCGTAACTGTCGAAGAGCCGGTTATCGTAAGCAAAGTCGCAAAGTTTGAGATCGGCTTTAAGCGTAATAGATGCCAGAGAGCATTTAGAAACTCATCAGAAAAACTCATAACATCTCATTTTAATCTGTATCTTTTCAGGATTGGCAGGATCAATTCATGGTATGGAACGCCTCAGACTACGGTGGGATAGATGAAATTAAAGTTCCCCACAATTCGATTTGGATGCCAGACATAACACTCTACGACAAGTAAGCTCATCATTACTATATTCTATATATTTTTAAATGCATATGAAGGTATATCGTGTGACGAGAGGATTCTATCCTTATGGTGATTAAAGGGTCGACATCGAACTCAAATTGCCAATTGCCGGACATATGTTTTGGTTTCTGACTTTATAAGCATTATATATGCTTAGGTATTTGACAGCATGATGTCAAATACACATTAATTATTAAACATGTCTAAGATCCTAAGCACATTAGACTAGGCCTAAACACGTTTAGAAACGTTTCACCAAAAGCGGAACAAAATTACGTGGAACTTTGCGTTTAAATTTTCCACGCTGTTTTACAGTGTATGAGGCCATAGGATGCTTTCTTTAATGTTCACATGCGCTGTAAAAACATTTGTAAAGATTTATGGAAATGCGAAAGACATCATAATCAAGTGATGAAGATGGAAGCTTCCTAGCTAAGTCACCACACAAAACCAGAGTATGGGGATATGCCCTCGTCGCTAACTAGGGATTGATGTTGTCGTACAACTTTGATCTTGCGTACAATCGCCAGAGAGGACAATGAAAGTTATTGAGCCGGAGGTTGACAGGAGGAAACGAGTGTACATTGCAGAGCGAAACTTAAGTTATTCGGATTCAACAACAATAATTATAATAATATACTTCTTAAATGTTGCACAGATTCATCTGGTTGTTAATACTTTACAACCTAATATACTTTTTTCTTTATATGCCTTATTGCATTTTGGTGTACTAAAGTAAAGAATTTAAACTCTTTTGAATCACATTTTTCAGCGTAGACAATGGTTTCGAACGCAGCAAGACAAGTATTCCATTATCCGTTACTTCGAATGGTTCAGTTTCTTTGGCAACACCTACTTTTTATACCGCATTCTGCAAGATGGATGTAAAGCATTTTCCATTCGACAATGAAATATGTAGATTTAAGCATGGATCCTGGATGTACGGGAGTCACCAGATCGACCTAAATGTTAGACGGAGAGAGAACGAACAGAGTTACTTCTATGAGAATGGTGTCTGGGATCTAGAATATGTCAATTTTGAAATGAACTATACATCGTATGGTTTGTCTCCATATTCATACGCTCATATTATTATGACGATTGGTTTGAGCCGCCGCTTTGAATTTTATGTTGGAAACATTATAGCACCTAGTATTTTACTTTCATTTCTACAAGCTTTTGTATTCTTCTTACCCCCGGAATGCGGTGAGAAAATTTCGTTTTCCATTACAAATTTACTAGCAATTGTGCTGTTCCAACAACTGATTGCCGAACAATTACCTCCTTCTGATGAAACCCCTTATATTGGTGAGCACATTTGATTAAGGTTACAACAAATTGATTTCATCATGCTAAACCTACGTAGGCTACACCCATTGCTTAACAATGTGCTTAAAGCTTCAAAGGAGCTCTCTTTGATTTTGTAGGTAGCGTTTATCAGTAGGGTAAAGACCCACTAGAGGTAATGTTTTAGTTGGCTAAACACTTTTGGTACTTGTGCATAAAAGCTTGCAAACGTGACTAAGGTTGTTCAACAAAACAAATGTAGTTTACCTACTACACAGAAAAGCGCAGATCTGTTTTGAAAGGTGGGTGAAATGTGGGAGACAGTCGTGAGTCCACACCCATGTCAGCCCATGGTTGGGGCTGAGGTATGAACATTTAAGGAAACAGTGCCTGTAGATGGCTGGAAATGACACTCGTAAAATCCATCATCATTACATCAACATTATAGTCAAAATGAAGCACCAACAAATTTCTCATGATCTTTTTTCAGAAACCTTTCATAACACTCCATTACATCGTAACATAATTTCAAAAATTGTGCACGAGTACCAATTCTAAAGGTGACCAACATTATAGGAATTAATGTAGAAGACCAAAATCAGCACTAAACACGGCAATGTTTGGCAATCATAGAAATCTAATGAATCTCTGTGATGTACTATAAAAAATAAAAATTAAAAACATTGTCTTTGATGTATTAACGTTATTTTACCTACTTTAAAGTCACGGCGAATGTGTCGAAAACCAATAATCTTATCTTACACTGTTTTTTCATACTTCTCAAACTATAATAAATTTAGGCACGCGCACTCGAGTCTTGTAATGTAAGAGAAAATTCAGTTATTTGTGGGCGCAAAGATACCGGTATCTTGCTACGAGGTAAGATGTACTCCTCTGGCTATACGTGCCCTTGCGTTAAAACCTGGGTCATTTATACAGTTCATTTCAACATTTTCCAGGCAAATTCTTGACTTATTCAATTACATTGCGGTCGAAAATTGGGGGTACCAACCCTTCTTAAAAAGATGTGGGGTGGGAGGTGTCCCACATGATGTGCGCTCATGACAATACAATATATATTACATGGTATATTCGATTTATTTGTTCTTTATATTGCAGAAAATGTCATTACATTAATAATCTGTCTCGGATGCATCTCAGTTGTGGCAACGTCGATTATTCTGAAGTTGCACTTTGGACGACACAACAAGCCTGTGAATGGACACATTTACAGGATATTCGTCAGAGGTCTAGGCTCAGCTCTTGGAGTTTATAACAAACTCGATTCTAAGACCACACTTGCCTATTTTAGAAGAGCTGACCCAGTAGGAGCCTGTCTTTCCGAGAGCAGTGCAGATATGAGCAACACAGATATGTCAATCTCACAACACGTGTCATCATCCAAAAAAAGAATGACAGATATCGAAATGTTAAATCAGCCAATCAATGAACGGAAAAAAGAGGAAGAACTAACACAAACATGGATTGATGTGGCACGTGTGTTTGACAGAGTAATGTTAATCGTTTGGATATCAGCTATCTTTCTAGTAATCGTCATGATAATTACAATATTCTTACAGTCCAAAAAGAAACGTTAATTTAATGGTAACCCTTTTTTTAAAGGCAGATTATACTTACACCAGTCTTTTTGGTTTTATGTTATTGTCATAATCCAATGCATACAATAACGTCCAAAACCAATTATAATGAATTAAGACTGGTGTAGCAATAGTCACTTTTTAATTTTGCTACAAACTAATTAGAGAAACGAGGATCAAGAAAATGACCGAACATTGAAAATTGCATTGTATTATGACAATAGAGAGACATCGTATACTATTTTAAACTTTGTGAACTTTTATCAACATTACATACTCGATCCAATGTGCATGTCAATGTTTTTCTTTTCTGACAAGGGGTCAAATACAAGGGGCTAACTACAGCCTACAGTAGATCGACGGCCCGGAATAAAACATACCTGTTAGGGGTGGCGGAGAGTTTTTATGGATTAGTTTGGTCCAACTTGTTCTTTTAGACCACAATATTATGGATTAGCATTCAATATAACAATTTTTCGATAAGGCAACTTATTAGTTGGTCATCATGGCGTCGGACGGCAGGGGGCCCAGACCTGTCTGGCGGGAGGGCAAATTTCCCCTCCCCCACCCCATAGTACCTGATTCAATAAGTTTAGGAACAATAGACTCTTCTAGTTCAGTCATTAAAATATTAGCTAAAACTGGGCCAAGAGGCGAACCCATTGAGACACCATCAGTTTGTTTATAAAATTAATTATTACATGTAAATACAGTTTTAGTACAGCAATCTCTAAGTAGCTTCCTTAGCAAATTTTTCTTAAGGTTAGTAGATATCAGTTTCTTATTGTAAACTCTATCAAGAATTATATTAATTACCTTAGTAAGGGGAACATTTGTAAACAGAGATTCAACATCAAAAGATACAAAACGGTAACCTAAATTATATAAATTGTTTGGTATAGCTTTAATGCGGTCAGAAGCATCAAAAGAATCTTTAAGGACAAAGTCATTAACCGTTAGAAGGCCTAATAAGTTTGATAAGTACTTAGCTACTGAATAATAACAAGTACCGGTCGTGTCAATAATAGGTCTTAGGGGTGGAATATTATCAAAATCTTTATGTAATTTAGGTAGTCCATGGGCTCTAGCAGGCATGGTTGATACTGGACGAATTTCTTTGTATTCAGTTTCAGTTAGTTCATTTCTATTAAATAGTGTCCGGAGGTAGGCTTGTAAGGAGTTAAGCTCCAGAAACAGATAATGTTCTCTTGATTGGGGATTATATTATGAGTAAATGGATGGAGACTTACCCCATCCCGAAGTAAACAACCAACACAGTTTCTAGGGCTTAAGAAACTTGTGGACAACTTTGTACCCCATTTCAGTGTACCCCGACAACTTCATACTGACCAGGGTCGCAACTTCGAGTCGCAGGTGTTAGCCGGAAGGTGTGCCTTGATTGGTATCAGAAAGACCCGAACTAGTCCCTACAATCCAAAATCCGACGGAATAGTAGAGTATTTAACCTGACTCTAGTAAATATGGTAGCGTGATAACGGATCCTGTTAACAGACGAAGAGACTGGGATGTATGGCTTGCTTATGTTACCATTGCGTGCAGGTGTTCTCCATAGGAATTAACTGGTGAGATGCCGGATATTGTAATGTTGGGACGCGATGTTCAGATCTCAATCCATCCTGTGGTAGGAGACAATGTTTTGAACACAAAATCTGGCGGTACAGGTCCAGAAGATGTTAGGTGATGATGCAGAACGTGCCCGAGTAGTTTTAAAAACTAGTGCTCGCAGACAAAAGCAAGGATATGACAAATTGGTCCGACACTCTGAACTGGAAGTTTGGCCAGTGGGTTTTGATGCTTGATCCCACAAGGCGAAGGGAAAATCGCCAAAATTAGAATGTCGGTGGAAGGGCCCCTATCAGCTAACGGATTTATTGAAAAAGGAGACATTCCGTATCCGTATATGTCCTAGCAATCGGATTAAAGTGGTGCACTCTGACCAACTAAAGTGTGCTTCACAAGTAGAACCAGCACATAAGAGTGTACCAGAACAAGAGAGTGTATCAGAACAAGACGATAGATCAGAAGAAAGTGAACTGGAAATTGAACAGTTGCCCGACGACGAACCAGAAACGGAACACGATCCTGACACTAGGGGAAATTAAAGTCTAGGAGAACCACTGGCGGGATCGTCGACTACCCGCCCCTTTTCGGCGCATTACATCCATTGACTATGTTTCTATTTTTCCTTCATATCATAGTGAAGGCCCCTTGTGTTCAAGCCGAGACGAGGCTTCAAAAGCTCAAACTTGTGTTGGGCCGATTGTGATGCCATGTTTAGATCGAAAGACAACCTCCGGAGTCACATTAGGCGTAACCACAGAAGAAGGAGAAGGGATGACAGGCCGAGTTGTGGTCCGGCAGTATCAAAATAGAATAGAATAGGAAACCGTTCCTGTCAGGGCCGACGGAACGTTTTTCAAAGTGAGTGGCCCACTTATAAGATGAATGGGAATATGAATCATGCAGTTCTGGAATCAAATCTAGGTGGTTAGCGTCTTTAATTTAAGTTCTTCAAAATTCAAGGTTTTCCCCTTTTGAAAACGGCCAGGTAATTTTTTTTCCATTGTTATTACAGTAGATAGGCCTTATGTGTATACATACACACAAAATAAATGAGTAGTTGCATACGATTTTTTTCCATGAATCAATAAATCCCAAAAAGAAAGGGGGTCCGGGGTTCTCCCCTGGGAAAATTTTGATTCCTAGAAGGCGTGAAATGAGCTTTCCCGAATTTCTGAGGTGTCTTTTAATTACTTTTAAGTTCTTCAAAATTCAAGGTTTTCCCCTCTTGAAAACGGCCAGGTAATTTTTCCTATTGTTGTTACAGTAAATAGGCCTTTATGTGTGCATATATACACAAAAAATAAACGAGTAGTTGCATACGACTTTTTTCCATGAATCGATAAATCCCAAAAAAGAAAGGGGGGTCCCCGGAAAAATTTTGATTCCTAGAAGGCGTGAAATGAGCTTTCCCGAATTCTGAGGTGTCTTTTAATTACTTTTAAGTTCTTCAAAATTCAAGGTTTTCCCCTCTTGAAAATTATTATAATGAAACAATGAACCCAAAGAGAAAAGGGAGGTTCAGGTTCTTCCCGGGAAAATGTTGATTTCTAAATGGTGGGAAAATAACTTCCCCAACTTCTGAAGTATCTTTTAGCAAATTTAATTTAAGTTCTTTAAAATTCAAGGTTTTCCCCTCTTGAAAATGGTCAGGTAAAATTTTCCCATTGTTATTACAGTAGATAGGTCTTATGTGTGACATACACAAAAAAAATGAGTAGTTGCATACGATATTTTTCCATGAATCGCTAAATCCCCAAAAGAAGGTGGGGGGGTCCTATAGTTCTTTCCCGGGAAAATTTTGATTCCTAGGTGGCGGAAAATGAGCTTTCTCGACTTCTGAGGTGTCTTTTAATGACTTTTAAATTCTTCAAAAATAAAGGTTCTCCCCCTCTTGAAAATGATTCAGTTAATCAATGAACTCCAAAGATAAAGGGGGTCCGGGTTCCCCCGGAAAAATTTCGATTTCTAGGTGGTGGGAAATGAACTTTCCTGACTTCTAAAATGTCTTTCAATGAATTTTAAAGTTCTACAAAATTCAAGGTTTTTCCCTTATGAAAACGGTCAGGTAAATTGTTCTCATTTTTTAAAATTTTATGTGTGTATACATACATAAATAAATGAGTAGTTGCATGCGTATTCTTTTTTTCATCAATCGATAAATCCCAAAAAGAAAGGGTGGTCCGGGGGTTCTCCGTCGGGAAAATTTTAATTCCTAGAAGTGTGTTTTAATGACTTTTATGTTCTTCAAAATTAAAAAAAAAAAACAAAAAAAAAAACAAAAAAAAATCAGTTCACGGGTCCTGAAAAGGCAGGTCTACAATTCTTTTCTTTACCCCCTTTTTTTTTGTTGCCCATGGGAGAAGTCAGGACTTATGATCCCCCTCCTCCAGATCCGCCAATGTGAATTGCGAGAAAAGGTAACTCGGTTGGGTACTGGATAAACATTCTCTTTCCCATCCTTCTCCTCCTTCTTCCCTCCTTCTTTTCTTGCATTTGCGATCATACAAAAATCTCCAGGCATTATATATTTCTTGCCAAATGTCCAAATAGGTTCACATTCACATGGCTTTTTTTTATGAGTGAAATTGTTTAAGGCAGATGCTACTTAGACCAGTCTTTCTGATTTGATGTTATTGTTATAATCCAATGCATTCAATAACGTCCAAACACAATTTTAATGAATTTGTTTAAGACTGGTTTAACAATAGTCACTTTTTAATTTTGCTACACACTAAATAGAGAAACGAGGATCAAGAAAATGACCGAACATTGTAAATCGCATTGTATTATGACAATACAGGGACATCGTATAATATTTTAAACTTTGTCAACTTTTATCAACATTATACTCGACCCATTCTGCATGTCAATGTTTGTTGTTTTTCAATTTGCTTCTGGTTACATATTTTTTTTGAACGTTGCATTATTGGAACAAGTGCCGATGGAAATACTGGGGCCAGCGGTGGGGTCAGAAATTTGTCGACAAGGGGTCTGACATGTCTGACAAGGGTGTCCAAACTAAGTGGCCGACTAGAGCCTAGATCGGCGGTCAGGAATAAAAATTCCCTGGTAGGGCTGACGGAGAGAGTTTTTATGGATTAATATGGTCCAAATTGTTCTTTTAGACCACAATATTATGGATCAGCAATCATAATAACAATTTCTCGATAGGCAACTTATTAGGTTTTTGTTTTGTCCTCGTGCCGTCAGACGGCAGGGGGCCCAGACCTGTCTGGCACTGGGAAAATTCCCCTGCCCCTATCTCCCCGCTGGAGCTACCACTGACTGGAGCCCTTGCCTGCAACCCAAGATTGAAACATTCTTGTGGTTCGGGATTATATGAGTAAATGTTTGGAGACTTACCCCATCCCGGAGTAAACAACCAACACGGTTGATAGGGATTTTGTGGACAATTTTGTACTCCATATCAGTGTACCCCGACAACTTCATACAGTGTTCTGGCGCCACCCCTGATTAGAAACGTCCTATACCTTGTAATTGATCTACTGTATCAAGTTTGCTTTTGCTTTATTGTACGTCTCAACCAACATGCAGGACGAGTATTCTGCCTTGCTTGAGAAAAGGTATTAACAAAATCATAGTTTTATGTAAATGAGCAAAACGCGTTTGAGTTTTTCCCAAGAAAAGTACAAATGATTTCAAATATTTAAAACTATGCTTTGCTTATAAATATTATTAAAAATTTTGCCTCATACTTTTCATTGGTTAAATTTATTATTAAGGGGGCCAAAATGGAGAGGGCCATCGCTAAATTAAGTCAGAGCCCAAAATATAGCATCATATTCAAAACGTTATCTGACATCATGAGAACCTAAACTTTAATACAATTATTTGTTATATACTTAGGCCTAATTCGAAATTATTATTTTAAGACTTTAAACATAATAGGCTACATACTGATTAATAATAGCTGAGATTTGATGCACTTAGAATTAATAATCGTTTTTATTATATCTTCCTGAATATTTATTTTCTGCCAAATGAAATATGAATTATATGCATCTTTAGTAATACAATTTCTACAATATTAATCTTGTTTTTATATACAGTAGATAAATGTTCGATAAATTCTATCTTTCATAAAAAAAGAAAGCGAAATTCAGCGCGCCTATTTCCATTCTAATAAATGGCGTTTGTAAACGTGCACTGACGTCATCGTCAAATTCCAGGACTTTCGACGGTAAAGCTGGCCTGCCTGTCCCGGTCCCAGGCCAACCAATAATAATTAACAAAATGTTGTTTTTTTTTAATATAGGCCTATGGCGCATTTTGTACATGCACTTCAACTTTTACAACAAAAGCCTAGGCCTATTACCTGTAGTACGTCCTACTGTACTTAAACCTACACTGGTTTGTTGTCGTCGGGATATAATTCTGTCTCTAAATGAACGAGCAGCAAACCTAGCTAGTCAACATCTAGGCTAGGCTAATTGATTTTGAAATCAATACCCTTCTTCTTTGCAACAGCGGACGAAAAAAAAATCAGTTATTCTAGGACGTTTCATGATTCTTTATCACTAAAAATTAACAAACACTCGCATTGACGGACTTCACGTTCTGTAGTGTGTGTCTGCTGAAAACAAACTTCCTAGCTTAATTTTGTGACTGGCTATGATGACTGAGATGGACCATGTTGATTTATTAATAATATTTTGTTTGGGATGGAAAAAGGAGAGTCAATTTCCCCAAAATGCTCCAACAGCACATAGTTTAGTGTGCCCTATGGACAGTATGGCTATGGAATTTACTAACCACATAATTCACAATCAGGTGATTAGGTCGCAAAACCTTAGCTTCGTTTGGTGGCACCATTTACTCTAGGTAGACGGCGACCTGTTTCGTTAACGGTTGGTGCATTTCTTACAAACATTCAGCCAAAGGCCAGTGAAAGTTGAGACGGCAGCCGGGTTTTTATCGATATTTGCCATTCTTATGTGTACCATCGTAAAGTCATTGTTTGCTGGAGTTGCGTTCAATTTAAATCTCCGAACTTCTGAAGCTGAGATATTCTATGAATGTAGGCTTGTATCGCAGGCTACAATTTAAAAACGGGTGACCAAATAATGAATTAGGTGCTAAATTTTGATTTAATGCTAGGTAAGTTAATAACAGACATTCTTTCCGAGTGGGACTCATTCAAAAATTCCAGGGGGTTCGCTAGAAAACAGGGGGTTCGCTAGAAAAGGGGGACCATAAAATCCCCCTGGCTAACGGGCCTGGAGGTTTTGTGGGCCGAATTATCATTGGGTCGGCGTAAAGACGCTATTTAAACAAGTGAGCTGTTAATTATTATATTATTGTGATTATAGTGAATACAACTATAGTAGGCCTAATAGTTACTTCTCTGCTATTGACGAAACACAGATAGTTAGCAAACGGCTAAACAGGTAAAGAAATCATGGGCACATTAGATTAGACTTATTTGGTGGTACACGCCAAGAATAACTCACAAAAGTCCTAAGACATATTTCCTGTTGGGATCCTTCTGATAGTGAATTGAGCAGTAGTCAGTAGGAGA